AGCAAACCTAACCCTTTAATTGTTCATAATGTAGAACATTTGGTCCCTCATGTTATGTAATTAGAATTGTTTTTAATAATTTATATAATTTATTTATTCAAAATTAAAAATATTTTTTATTATAAATAAATACATGAATTAAAAAATTTTAAAAAATAAAAAAAAAATCCAAAAATTTCCCTCACTTCAACATTCGATAACATAATTACTTTTACACCACAATTTAGTCAACTAAAATTAACATTTCACTTTTACTAATTAATTAAATTCATTTATACATATATAATTTATATATATACGGCAACTTGACGAAATATTATTATTATTATTATTATTATTATTATTATTATTATTATTATTATTATTATTATTATATTAAGAATTCGTACATAGAAAAAATAGGATTGTATACATATATTTATTTATTTATTTATTTCTACGAACAGTACTTGTATATGTATATATATTTTGTTTTATTTTACTATATATATATATATATATATATATATTGTCCGTGAAGAAGACAGCCACCGGGCCGGTGGCTGTTCTCTTTATTTTTTTTTTATTTTTAATTCATGTATTTATTTATAATAAAAAATATTTTTAATTTTGAATAAATAAATTATATAAATTATTAAAAATAATTCTAATTATATAATATAAGGGACCAAATGTACCACATTATGAACAATTAAAGAGTTAGATTTGTTCAAATCAATTGACATGGGCTAAATTTCCAAAAGTAAAACAATTTAGGGGCTAAAAACGCCGTTTTCCCTAAAATAAAATTAAAGAACATTTTCACATATTTGAGTGCTATAATATCGAATGAAACTGTAGTTATATTGAAATAAAACTGTAATTATCGAAATGAAACTACAGTGTATACAAAATGAAACTACATAACAGAGTTACTTTTTGCGAAATGGAGCCAAACGACGCGAAACAGATGACGTTTCTTTTCATTAAATAAAACGACGTTGTTTCGATGCGCAGTGCATAATCGATTATGCACCACGGTGCACGATATAATTTGCCAGCTTAAAGATACCTCCTACAGTTACGGCAAGACACCTTGTGGTCTGACAAAAAAAAATTAAGGTAAATGTACGTTCAATCTATTAAAGGTGGATTTAAAAAATCTCATATCCATTTACATTCGTTAGTTGTGCAGATCCAATCCAATTCACTAATAGTGGATTTGGCGAATTGGATGCAAATCAAATGGTGGGTTTTAAGATTAAAAAATAAAATAATTTATAATACAAGATTTCATGCATTCAAAAATCAAAATCACAATTCTTCAAGTATCACATTAAAAATAATGCCCAATTTAAAAATTTTAAATAATTATTTTAGAATTCAAACAAATTTAAATTAGAAATTATTATTCTTCTTCTAATAATTAAGACCTAATTAATTGAACATATCAAAACTATTAATTAATTAATAGGACCTCATTTATTTATTTATAAGAACAGGTCACAACAATCCAAAAACTCAGCTCGGAGCTCACATACATGATACAAATTACAATGTGATGAAAGTGAGCAACTAGTGGCTAATGAAATTAAAGCATGCTCCATGGACAGCAGTAAAGCCACTTTTAAGCGCTCATGCTTAGCAGACTAGCTAAGTAAATAATTGGCCTGGGTTTTCAAGTTTCAATACACACACTTTAGAAAAGGAGTCGCAATGCACAGCGAGCTGAGGTCTGGTTAGGGATTATAGTCCCGAGGAACTATCCAATTCTGAGTGTGAGAGTGCTATCTCGATCACCTCCGCTCTCTGAAACTGACGTCTTTGCCAAACCTCCATACTCACTTCACGTGCCTTGCCAACCCACTGCCTACAACCATAAACCCAAACAACTTTACAGGAAAATGAAAATGAAAGGCTTGCATTGCTACTTCTGGGTACACCCCAAATGAGATTATCAGAGGGATTAACCACAGATTTGACCATTTGTAGTGCCCCAATGCCTCTCTCTCTCGTGGAGACTTGGTTAATTATATTGTAGGATGTTCATTAACCGACACTTATCAACTTATTTATTGTATTTATCAAAGTTGGGTAATGTTCGGACAACCATAGTTAAGTTGGTTGGATAGTTGACGTGGTAACTACAAAATTTGAAATTATACTCTTAGGGAGAACGGATTGTTGGTCTTCTTCGTTATAAGTCTGATTAACTATAAGCAATCTTTGACTTTCTTTATTTGAGTCGATCAACTATGAGTACCTTAATCTTGTTTATATCATTGTGACTAGGACCACAAGGTAGGGGCCGGTTTATTACTCGGTGAACATCCTCACGTAGTAGCTACAGTTTCCCTCGTCCCTCAACAAAGAGTTGAGCAATGTCCTCCAGAATAATCGAGTAGGTGAAACATGACTCTCATAAGTAAATTCACGAATTCGATTTTTACCAACACCTTTTAATCAATTAAGTATATCACATAATTGATACACTTAAATAGATCTGACAATTACTCATCACATTCTCTAATGTGATTATTGGGTATTGTGATTTTTGGCTAAATGACAAAAAAAAAAGGTAATATTGTGTCATAAGGGCAGAAGATTGAGATTAAGATGAGTAATACGTTAGTAGTCGGTAGTGTGGTGAAGGACAAGATGTAAAATGTAGCAACTAACAAGATTCGTTTAGAAACGTTAGAAAAGAATCAATCGGGGAAAGTAATAAAATCAGAAGAACCAAACAATGTTGACCGGTCAACTGTTAAAAAAAGAAAAGGGTCTCTTACCCCCTCGTCCCTTTTACCGAAAAACTGGACACCCTTTTCCATTGGCTGGGGCCTGGGAGCGAGCAGAATAGCAGTCTTCGAGATGAAGGCCGGGCCAGCCCCCAGAGGTCGTCTTCCCGGCAGACCCACTCCCCCTACAGGCATCACCACATGTCCGTGCCCAGTTCCTCCTGCCATTTGTCTTGTACCATCCCCTTATTGAGCAGGGCCAGTAGAGGGCGTGTTTAGTACTCAGTGATTGGGAGATTGTTAAGCGGAAGCTGATGAAGTCCTTAAGGGCAAAGTCTAGTACCAGTATGTCTCGAACAATGTGATGATAGTTCATAAAATAATAAAATGTGCCCTCACTATTAGTCTTTTGGCGTGAATGGTAAGAGCTTAATCTGCTATTAGAATCAGGTCACGAGTTCAATTCCTAACAATAATAGGCCCTAGCTTTCGCTACTAGCAATACCTTTTGGCGTGAGTGGTAAGCACCTCATCTTAATACCCCTCTTCCTCATATTCCATTAAGCCCAACTTTAATTTATTAAATCTTCTACCTAACATGTTACTAAGAATGCACTCAATTCCGAGAATTCCCACCGATCTTATTTAAAATTTTAGTGGAAAAGATAAATCTCATGATATAATTTAGTGGACTACAAATTTCTCTTAAAGTGGCTCACAAGAGGACTAGGTAAATAGCAGAATGTGACTGCACCCAACCTTATAAGTCCTACTCCTACCCTGAAACTAAAATGGATGATATGAAGGTAATATGAATCAAATTGATAAAACTATTGGCTTGGTAACCGCATGGAACTGGTTTCCGTTACTGTGGTCCTTTACCGATTAGGATCACAAGGCAGAATTTACCCGTGCATACTCTCGAATAATGATTGCAGGTTTTTCTCATCACTTAAAAAAATGAATGAGGTAAATTGTCGAATGTGCATTAATGATCTACAAGTTTCTCTTACCCCACAAAATGTTGTACATTGGTGGTGTTTGGCTGTTTGCTATTAACTAAGCAAAGCTATTAATTTCAATCAGTTGAGTTGTGTGTTACATACTAACAGCTAATTGACAATACTGCACGCTGGCAAAAATTGTTAAGATTAATTTCCTCCTACCCCTCTCTCTCTCTCTCTTTCTGCAGAATAAGACAGCACTCATTCACCAAAACGAAACAGCTAAAGCCCACCGGCACCTGCTAGTGAAACGTAGAATAGAAATGATGATAAAGACAGGTGATTAGAGAAATAGCACCTGTGTAAGACTGATACTTAATTGATGGCCGGAGTTGAGTTGAGCATTGAAAGGAGTGGATGCATCTATCTCTCTTTCTATCTTTCTATCTATCAATACTTTCATTGGAACTGCACATAACACGTGAAGACATGAGGGTCAGTCAGCAGTTACTCCATATTTAATACTATATTTATTGTTTATAATATAGTTGTAAGAGAAAGAAAACGAAGTCAGGCAGGCACATAGGCAATCACAAAAACTCACCCAAATTTAATGCACTTTGGATGCTTATGTATCAACAATAATAATCATCCTCACTCATATTTATGTCTCTGCACATCTCAATATATTATATAATAATGCACTGTTATGCGGGGCAAAACTAGCTCAAATAGTAGATCACATGATCTAAAGTCAGCATTTTAATAGCAGATTATTGGAGATTTGACTCCCACCAACATCTTGGAACTAGGCTTCTCCAAACTAGAGTTTGGGACCTTGGGTATCCCAATCGCGATTTACCTCCTTCGGTGACTCTTAGATAGAGACTCTGTCAATATTATATAATGATGATGCATTACGCCTTGCAGGACTAACTCAAGTATTAGACCACTTGATCTAAAGTTAACACTCTAATAACAAGGTGGACATTTGACTTTCACCAACATCTTGGAGCTAGACATCTCCAAACTAGAGTTTGGAATCTTGAACTCTCCAATTGCGATTTATCTCCTCTAAGGACTCTTGGGCAGACGTTTTGTTACTAAACAAATAATGCAGTTTTACGTTACGTTGCAAGAGAGAGAAGGATGGTAAAAATTAAAGCTTAAGGTATCTATAGGGTCTGACATCAACCCACCAATAGTTTTGTTTCCCATGCCACTACAAAACACCCACACTTACAGCAACCACTCGGCTCTCACTCATCACGCCATCATGTACTATTATTAGTATTAATATATATTGATATTTGGTCTAGCTAGCTAGTACACAAATACTATAAGATGCTGCTGCAGCACGGATAAGCATGCTTGCCTCTTCATTCTTCAGTCATTTCTTTCTTAACCCCATCCTATATCTCTTTCATTATTTAATATTACCTTGGGTTTGAGGATGAGCTATGGAATCAGAATAAATACACCTAGCACATTCTGTTTCCTTGCACCCACTCATGTTTATGTAGCTGTAAGCCTGATCTGAGAGATCCCATGGGAAAGAAACTAGGGGGAAGTTCATGGTTGACGGCAGTAAAGAGGGCCTTCAGGTCTCCGACTAAGGAGAGCAGTAGTAATGTTGACAAGAAGAGTTGCAGGAGGAGAGAGCATGAGCATGAGGAGGATGAAGAAAAGGTAACATAATAAAGTATTGGATTTAATTTGTTGTTATATATGCATTTTTTGGGAGTTAATTGTTGATGATTTGTGGGTTTGGGATTTTAATTGGCAGAAAAGAGAAAAGAGAAGATGGTTGTTCAGGAAAGGTGCAGCAGCCCAGAATGGTCAGGCGGGTGAAGCGACGAAGGTGATGAACAACAACGAGTCAAGGCATGCCATTGCGGTGGCTGCCGCCACCGCAGCGGCGGCTGAGGCGGCCGTGGCGACAGCTCAGGCAGCCGTGGAGATCATCCGCTTGACACGGCCTTCCAATAGGCAGCACTTTGCAGCAACTGTCATCCAAACGGCCTTCCGAGGCTATCTAGTAAGCTGGCAGTGTTAGTTAGAGCGGTGGTTTCAGTTTTAATTTGACCTTGTACTCACAAACTTAAGATTTGATGATATTTATTTGCAGGCAAGGAGAGCCCTTGTTGCTCTAAAGGGGATTGTTAAGCTTCAAGCTCTGATAAGAGGCCAGAACGTACGAAAGCAAGCAAAGATGACACTAAAATGCATGCAAGCTCTGCTTCGAGTGCAGGCTCGGGTCCGGGAACAGCGTGCCCGCCTTTCACACGACGGAGGCGGCCGCAAATCCATGTTCGCCGAACCCACCACCAACTTTTGGGAATCTAATAAATACCTTTCAGATATCAGAGATCGAAAGTCAATGGTACACCGCCATATATACTTTCTTTCCACCTGATCTTTGTGTATGTGTTGCACTTGCAGTCTAACATATTCTAGGATTTGCAGTCTAGAGATGGAAGCTCAATCGCAGATGATTGGAGGGACTGCCCACGAACACTTGAAGAACTGGAAGCAATGTTGCAAGCCAGAAAAGAGGCTTCCATCATAAGGGAAAGATCCCTGGTTCATGCTTTCTCACAACAGGTTCAATTTGTTAAGCTTTTGAAATTAAACAGGAGAACTATTAACTACTAGTTGGGCAGAGGCCAGTAACGGTCAAGTCTAACACCTAGTGATTGGAAAGAATTGTTGGGCAAATGCCAATAAAGAGTAAAGGCCAAGTCCAGTAAACAGTATCTTGTAAATGTAATGGCTGTCTATAAAGAAATAAAGTTGCTCTTTCCTTACTAGCTAGACGCACGCTTGATCCTAATGTGGTAACTTTTTTCCATTACGAATCAAGGAATGGAGCTCAGAGATGGAGCTTGTTGAGGAGGAGGGAGAGGAGAAAGAAGTAGAAGAAAGAACAAACTGGCTAGAAGAGTGGATGTCGTCGAAGCAATGGAACTGCGGCAGCAGAGCTTCAACCGAAAGGAGAGAGGCTGTAAAGACCGTGGAAATCGACACATCAATGCCGTATTCTTACACAAGAAGATCGCTCCAACACTTGAGTCCACACCACAACCACAACCACAAGCAATCCCCCTGTCGCCAGAAACCATCGCTCTACAATTTCCCCATCCTTCAACCCCCCGCAACCCCTTCTCCATCCAAACCAAAACCCGTGCAGCTCCGCTCCACCAGCCCCCGCCGTCTCGAAAAAAGCTACTCAACCGCCAACACTCCCTGCCTGCGCTCCACAACAGCACGTTCCCACACCCGCTACAGCATATCCGAGGTAGCAGCCGCCGCCACCAACGTTGCCGTGCCCAATTACATGGCTGCCACGGAATCTGCAAAGGCCCGGGTCCGGTCACAGAGCGCGCCCAGGCAGAGGCCATCCACCCCCGAGAGGGAGCGAACCGGGTCGGTAAAGAAACGCTTGTCTTACCTCATCCCAGAGCCATATCCCCTCAACACTGGCTATAGCCAGAATCTGAGAAGTCCCAGCTTCAAAAGCGTCCAAGCTGGGTATGTAGGGATGGAGCAGCAATCAAACTACTCATGTAACACTGATAGCATTGGTGGGGAAATTTCTCCTTGTTCAACTACTGATCTTAAACGCTGGCTAAGATAAATCCAAATCTAATGAGTTTGTTTAGCTTCAATTGTGTTAAGTTGTTTCCTTGATTTAGGCATGGGAATGTGAGGGTAGTTGATAGTTGATGGTGGTGGTTGAGAAAAGAAGCAAGAGAATTCCCAATGTCCATGATTTTTATTTTCCAGATTTGTATTCTAGCTCAAAATAGAAATGAACTTTCAAGGTATATTACCTTCTCCTCATCCCTTCCCCCTCAACAACCCATCCTGTACTGCTTTATTATTCATATTGCATCTTGTTTATATTTTAGTGACTATCACAATCAAACTGAAAACTGAAAAAGAACCAATTTCCGCAAAACCAGGACCACCATCATCAACCTTATCAATTATGCATCCCTCGCCCTCTGTACCAACAACCAAATCTTAAAAATTACAACTACCAAGATCCATATTTTCTGGCAGACACTAAAATGGAGCTCGATGCACTTTTGGGCTCCTTACGGGACTTGTCCAACGTAGTATATATATAAAATAATAAATGTATACTCTCGCTATCAAGTTAACGTTTTAGTTGAACTTTGTTACTTCAATGTTGTCTTCTAATCAGCACTGTATTTTCAACTTGGAGTTGAGTATTTAACCTTTTGGAAGAAGATTACTGTCTTCTCTCAACTATAGTGATTTTTTTCCAATTTAGTCTTAAATGGTTTTTTTTTTTTTTTTTTTTTTTTTTTTTTTTGCTTAATTGGATGGTTTTACCCAGTTGAGAAATCAGATAACTTGGTAATTTCACATCTATTAATACCCAAGTTAGTCCTCTACTGTAGTAATTTTACACAAATTAGTCCTCGACTATAGTAGTTTTATCTAAGTTAGTCTTTAACTATAGAGATTTTATCCAATTTAGTCTTCAACTATAATGATTTTTCTCGATTTAATTCTTGATTCTAACAGCCGAAGACTTAATTGGATAAAACTATCGAAGTCGACAATCTAATTAAGCACAAAAAATCATTTAGGATTAAATCGAAAAAAACACTATAATCGAGGACTAAATTAGATATTAGCTCTGATTTAAAATAAACAAACAAACTCAAAGAAAGCATTCTACTATCCAAAATTCCAAACCTCACTTGGACAGAGAGAGCAGAGGATGGGCAAAGCTTCAAACTTTATTCATTCTATATGCCTGTGTTGCTAAATATAATTATGGTTATCAAGGATAATTATACCAAATACTTTAAAAGAATAAAAACGTTGTTTAAGAATAAAGTAACAGTGTAGATACCCGGTTTTCAATAAAAATTAAGAAGCATGCAGTTTAAAGAATAGTTGCAGACTAATCCTGTGTCGTACAATTTGATACCATAATTTAAAAATGGAAAGTATCCACTTTTTTTTATTTTTAATAGTATTTCTTTATTCTTGCCCACATGACAGAATTTCTTCCGGGCCCACAAAGAGCACATTACATTAGGTGTAACTCTCATATTGCAGCTGTCAAGATTGATCCTGTAATTCTAGGAAGCAATATATGTTGCACGTTTTGAAAATTGAGGGAAAACATTTATATCACTAATAATTCAGAGATGATATTGATAATTGACATATTTGTGAGGACATAAGTTATAATTTTTCCCAAAAAAAGAATTAGTATGTAACCTGAGACTCCGAGAGCTTGTTTTAAAGACAAAATGAGAGCCCAAAGAACTTCTCCCACCAATGAACAGGGAAAGGAAAAGGAAAATGTAAAGACTAAAGAAGTTGATCACTTCTACTAGAGTTATTGCAGGCATTTTATTGTAAAAAAGACATTGTTGGGAACTGAAAGATACTGGGATTTTGAGAAGGAAAAGAGGAGAGTAAATCTACCAAAAAATAAGTCTTTTTAGCAGTTTTTTTGTTAAGATATTCAAAGAAAATGAAAAGAACATTTATGGTTGGATTGGGGGAGAGGGTTTTGGTCAAAGGAATGAGAAATTGTTGAAAGCAAGAACTTTCCCAGTCCCAGAAACTGAAACCCTAAAAACTGTCAAAAGTAAAGACATGACATTACTATGGGTGATGCAGAAAATGGGGCCACAAGCTCCATTTTCACCATCACCAAAATAACTGCACTCTGTCTCAGAAGAAGTAAACAGAAACTGAGGATACAATGATTTTTACACTCTATCTTTGTTTATATATGTAAAATTTAATTTGCAGAATTTATTATCTTGTTTCTATTTACACTTTGCCTACTTTGTGGTAAGAATTAATGTTCTTTGTGATGGAAGGATTAACCATATGTAATTTTCTGGTTCTGTAATTTGGCATGAAATCATCAAAACAAGCAAAAAAAAAAAAACCTGCATTGGCAGCTGAGTTGATAGTGGTTGTAGATTGTGGGTAATGATGCGGAGATTTAACAGCCACAGTATGAGAGTTACACCACACAATGAGGTGCGCACCAGACACTGGTTATCTAAAATCGCTAAGTTACCGTGGTTTACCCATCATACTCCTGTCACGGCGGGATGTAGAAATTCTTGTGGAGAAGAATTTCGCTTTTTGTGGACAAGTAAAAAAAAACTAGAGACTAAAAAGGGAAATGGGTATTTCGTAAATAGTTGTTAGCTGATTGAGTTAGTGAGTTTGACTAGTTGATAGCATTAGCTGATTGCAGAAAGATGTTTGGTAAATTAGCGATTAGTAATAACTGATTACATGCAAAATGACTTTCTCAAAAAACTAATCGAAAAAGCTGTTTTGAGATTTAACGTTTTGAAGAAAATAAGCTGTTACAAAAAAAACTAATTAATCAAAAACTCATATTTGCTATTTAACTAAGTCAAATAGCTAACAGTGGTCAAATAATTCAAAATTGTATAATAAGTTAACTATGTTACCAAACAGTGCAAAGTAAACACAAAAAGAACAAAAGGGAATAAGAGCATCTCTTTCAGTTTGATTTTTGCACAACATTTTAGGAAGACATGTAGGAGAGAGAAAAATTGAAGAGAAAAAGAAATGAAAAAAAAAGTATCTGACAATTTTTTTTAAATAAGGGAAAGCAACGATAAAAAGGTCAGAGTGGCCGCCAGTTGGCGGCCACTCTGACGTGTCCTAGAGGGCGAGTGGGGAACACGCGCCCACGGGAACGCTAAGTGCGTTCCAAGTAGAAATCATGATAAACTCTCTCCTCACCCTCTCCTCCACCTCAGTTATGGTTTCTCAAAAATTGCACAAAAATTGCACCAAAATTCACTGATGGGCTTGCTCTAAGTAGCATGACTAAATAATCAAAGCCACAACTTTAGTGAGTAGAAAAAGCTTTAGTAGCTTTCTAATTTCAGCATTGTGATCAGCATCACCATTATTATCTTTAATGGGATTGAGGTGGAATAATGATAACTTCATGTGGGAATTGGGATTTGCTTCCTTATTGTTCCCTTGAAGTGGTAGGGACCAGACACTATACCAAATTCTGAACTTTTCCCATTGTTGCAGAGAGATTCAATAATTGCAGTCACAAAAAATGGAAATACACTTAAAACAAATACTCCCAAAATCAAACTTCTCATTTAGCATTAAGTAACAATCACAATCGCAAATCGTACACATAACTGGTATACATCTTCAAGCAGAAAACTTGTAGTTGCAACACTGCTAGATCCTCTGGGGAAGGATTATAGCGCAAACCCAATTCAACTGAATCTAAGCTGTGCCTTTTGACACTTCAACTTTGTGCCCAAATGCCTACTTTTGCATCCAATTGCTTTAACCACCATTGGAAATTCAATGAACCCTTTTTCCCCTCTTTTGATATGGGGATTCTCAGGCTTAGGAGAGGCTTTTCTCTCAACTGCCAAGGTACTATGCTGGGAAGAAGAACCAACATTGCTGTTACTGGAAGGCGAGGACGAGGAACTATAATCCGCTGCAATTATCTGAGTATTGCTCAAACTTTCTTGAACCTTTGACTCTGAAATGGGAATTGGCGATTGAATGTGTAACTTCTTGGTGGTATTCAATTCCAAAATCTTTTCTTCCAGCAAAGACTTTGCCTCTGCGAGCTTCATCTGAACTCTCTCCTCTCTCAGCACCTCAGCTATTTGCAGCATTTTTCTCTCCTCTTTGATCTCTTTCCTCAACCCGTTTATCTGTCCTTTATGGGATGACACTTGTTTGGCAAGTTGATCACATAATCTCTCCATTGCTTCCCTCCCTTTCCTCTCCTCAGACACCTGTTTGACCAGCTTCTTGTTCACATACTCCACTTTCTTCCGTCTGTTGTGCTCCTTTTCCAACTCAGCCTTCAGCTCTATGATCTGTGATCGAGCTTTTTCTAGCATTGATTCCATGATAGGCCTAATGAAGGCCAGATCCCAGAAAGAAGCTGCGATCTTACGTGCAGAAACAGGTTGGTGGAGGTGATATCGACTGCGTTTTCTGATCCTGCAGTCTTCCCGAACCTTTTTGATACTAAGGTAGCATGGATTCTCATACAGCTTCCAAGCGGAAGTGATGGCTAAGGAATCACTGGAAATGCACTCGCTTTCTTGGCTTTGGATCATCATCTTCTCTAGAAATGGAGCACTCTATCTACCTTTCTTTTCCACCTATTGCTTCTTTTTAATTTTTTTTTGGTTTTGCACTTTTGCTTTTGCTTGTGTTTCTTTAACCAGAGTAGGGCCCTGGCCATTTAACTTCCAGTCTTCAAGCTGCTCTTCTCATCTACAACGACAATGCAAACTTTCCTTCGTAATTAATGAGCAAGGCAGTCTCAGTCATTCATCGTCAATACACATTGGTCCCATATGTCTCTCTTCTCATGTGCGGAAACCGGTCAACATCTGGAAACCATCTTCCTGCACTAACAATTACTACATTTAATTCACTAGTAGCAGCAAGCAAGAGTAAGAACACTGGGTCCCCCAATCATTCTGCTATTGCTTCACATGGATGGTCTCTTCCACTACATGCCATAGTAGCTGCAGCTGCAAAGAGAAAGTCATTCTCATGCCTAATTATCAACCAAACAGCCATTTAATTATCTGATTCAGGTAACACAAGAGAGAAGATGCAAAGCAATCAGATAATTCCGTGATCAACAGTTACTATACGGTTCGTTATCTTCTGACATAACTAATTTAAAAGTGTCACTAAGTGAGTTAGAAGGCAAAAGAGGTCAACTGGATAATAATATTATTAAAGCATCAAAATTTTATAACAAGTGAAACAATTGGAGTCCTTTATCCTAGTTCAGAAAGTCAGATAACATTTAGCACAGTGGTAGAAAATCCTACAAGCTTTTCTCTTTCACGAAAAAATTGGAGTCCTTTATCCTAGTTCATGAGAATAATCTTTCTCGACTACAATCAAACGAAGAAGCACTAGCTAGCACGCACAATATACTCCAGATCACCAAACTACAGGATTTGTACTTCACACCAAGTACCCAAACTTGGGATTTCGGGTTTGGTTCACAATTCAAACTCATCT